CTGATAAGAACCACCAAGTGGACGCGAGAGAAGCCTTTCAGGTCATGTACCGCACGCCGACACACTATTCCAAAGGCCTGCGCAAGCGGGCTTTAGCCACAGCAGAGGCAGTGGCAATCAGGCTAGCAAAACCCAGTCTATGCTGTCAAAAGACACTCGTAGCCGCAGTCTGCTTACCCTGGCCTACTACCCCAATGAATACCGTGTCGTCAGAACAGACACCCCCACCAACTACGCACGCCGACACTGAGAACACCCCTCCCTCCCCCCTCTTCCCTGCCTGCCGGACCCAACGCCACCAACAGGCTAAAACCCGCATGCGTGAGAAGAGGGAACACCACGATGACTAATTAAACCTCCACCCCCCCTCCCCTACCCCGCGAACTACTTAAGAACCACACTACCTATAACTGACCATTTCTGTCCTTGCATTGTACTGGCCAGCTGATGAATTGCCGAAAACGTATGTTTACAATGTCTTTTCAATCGTAAAATGGGAATTTTAGCAGAATATACTAGCTATTGAAATCGTTTCAGTAGGCCTGTATTTGTAATATCGTACGTACCTTCTGGAGAATGTGACTGAAATTTACGCCAAGCTCTGTAAAAAAAAGAAAGGGGAATTAAATGAAGACGAAATCCGTAAACAACTAAAGGCCTTCTATTCTGAAACAGTCTACATAAATAAGTAAAATTCCCTAGCCACTTTTGGTCAACAAAACAAACCTTCCAGCAGGGGTGGTTCATCCTCAAAATCGAAATCGGCCGCGATGCTTCCCTGCGGAGGCATTGAAGGAGTGAAGTAGGTGTTTGGGTTTGCTGGGGCCCCAAAAGCCGGCAGATGGGATCCCTTGGGATCCTGGTAGGGATATTGGGAAAACTGCCTGAAAAAAATACAATTTCCTACAGAAAACGCACACAAGTGACAGAAAAAGGTAATGAACATTTGATTAATCTACGAAAGAATTCTTTGCAAAAAAGACTCAAATCAAAAAGTGTCAAGATAATTTGCACAACATAACGCCAAGTTCAGTTATGTGCGCTGAAACATGTTGTTTTGTTCTCACATGAAACGTACATGTAGTTGGGGTCATAGTATCCTTGGTGCTGACCTTGATCTTGATGAAAGAATTGAGGTGCGGACATATTCCAAAAAGGTCAGAGAACGTAGATTTGACGGAGCAACTGTAAAAATAAAGCATTGGATGGTAAAATTGTAATTTCCATTTGCAGTACACAAATTTTCAACTCGAGTTTTTTGTGCACTGAAAGTCAGTTCACCAGCGTAGTTATCATAAATTCTTTGTTGATTGCCGTAATTGCCATCACACGATGTGAATTTAATCATAGTCACGTAGCAGTCACCTTTACTCATTGCGTACCTGATTTGTGCGAAACCGGCAATAGAAAATGGACAAAGTTCAGCGCTTCAAAGTTCTTGTTAATTCACTCCAGCTTAGAAGAGGATGCGATCACTGGAACAAGAGTTTTATTTGCCTGACGTTTCAGATTCCGTCTGGAATCCTCAATCATAGGTGATGGTAATATAGTCATGGTCATGCGCAGATAGAACCCTATCCCTATTTACACATTGGATTTTTAAGACCAGTCGACAAGCATACCCTGATTTTTATACGCTGCACTCTGAGAAGGAACTCGGTAATTGGTGTAGATCTAGTGGCTTAACATGTCGGCCTAAGCGACAGAAAATATGCAAGAGGTGCAGCCTTTAAAAAATTAAATTGCCTTACATTCGCAAACGTTTTGACTGGCAGAAACGCTCGACTCAACAGTCGCCGAAACATTCATCATAATTCCTGCGATAGCAAGCCTGCGCTCCAACATTTGCATGGAGTTTGTCGCTGTTATATTTTGTGCATCGCACTTTACAACATAAGCGCTGAAGTTGGTCAAGAGAACGCTTTGCCTGATATGTAAAGTATAGAACAGGTTATGACATCCGAAACCTAATGGATGGTGCACGCGATGTTTGAACCTGGACGCCAAGATGTTCGAAGATGGCAACCAACCGCGCACTTGTCGAGCTGGACGTGGGTACACCGGCTATACATTTGCATCTCCGATCGTTCCCAATCGACGGAGCGCCTGTCTCGTTGATTTTGCCGCCACTTTAGATTTGGTTTGC